AAAAAAAAAAAAAAAAAAAGGGCCACTTGGTTTTTTTTTTGTTGAAAGAGACAGGGTCTCACTCTGTTGTCCAGTGGCATGATCACAGCTCACAACAGCCTCGGCTCAGCTGATCCTCCCACCTCAGCCTCTTGAGTAGCTGGGACTATGGTCAGCTAATTTTATTATTTTTTTGTAGAGATGAGGTCTCACTATGTTGCCTAAGCTGGTCTGGTCTCAAAATCCTGGGCTCAAGAAATCCTCCTGCCTCGGCCTCCCAAAGTGCTAGAATTACAAGCACGAGCCACCGCACCCGACCTCTGTTTGGTTTTAATAAGGCCTGTACCCACAGCCAGGTCCACAAACTCTGGCTCCAGGCCAGCTCCACCAATGGTTCTGTCCAGTCTGCCTGCCCAAGATGTTTTTTACATTTTTTAAAGTCTGGGAAAAGAGGAGAAAAAGAAAAAGACACTTTGTGACAGGTTAGCTCTCTGATCTTAGGATTCTGTGAGTACAAAGCTCCACCGGCTCACTCCCCATCTGCCCCATGTCGCTTGAGGTCACTCATTCACTCCGAGTCGCTTAAGGCCACCTTGTTGCCAACCCCCTCCCGCCCCGCCCCAGGCACAGCCGGGGGCCTGTCCTGGCTGCCTTTTCCCACCGTCTCGGGCACTGTGGCGGGCTGAAGGTTCTGGGGAGCCTCTCACAAAGACCTTTCCGGCCCCCACCCCGAGCACAGTCCCGTGCCTGTGGGACGGCTGGGGCTTCTGCTCCGACTTCCGAGGTCCCAGCACACGTGCTGCCCGCGTTGCCTGGGGGTTCAGACGCCCCGGGGCGGCCTCCAGGGACCCTGCAGGCACTGTGTGGCCCAGGCAGTCAGAAGATGCCGCTGGGGACAAAATCGCCGGAGAAGACAGCCCTGCAGGAGTAGCCCGGACGGCGCTGGGTCCCAGGGCTGCTCCCTCCTGAAGCCGCAGCGGGCAGCCACCAGACACGGGGGCCGGGGCAGCCAGGGCCGGGTTTCTTCCCGCAGGAACCCAACACTGGGAGGCTCCCGGTGCCAGCCTCGAGCACACCCGGGCAGGCCACCCTCCCTCCCAGCACCCAGGATCGCACCCACACCACCCGCTGCCGGCACCCGCCGCGCCTTCCCTGACAGCCC